ACTAACAGAGCAGGATTTCACAAACCTAAACGTCGATAGCACGCAACATAAAGCATGAACAACACATATATGTCTAGACATACACAGACATATACATGTACATAGACTTACACAGGCAAGGCTGTACAATAAAATCTATAACTCCCCGGAGCATCCTTCAAGTGCTTGATGACTTTCTCAGCAGCGGCCTGCACAAGTTCTATGTCAATGTCTCGGGGAGGCCATGGTGTGATTTTGTCTACGGCCCAGCCTTTTCCTCGAGTCGCCGTGTCCCCAGCACGTTGCACAGGGCTCGGAGGCCTTCCTGGGTGCTTCTTTCCACCGGACTCTCTCTTTTTTGTGCGAAAGGGCCATACTGCATACCAACACATGCGATCTTCAGCCCAGCGACATGGGTGACAAAGTTGCCTGGGCGAAGTTGGCACATGCCCTAGCTGCTGTATCGCTGTCACTTTGAGCAAGGTCCATGAAGGATATGTTCAGCACGAGCTGCGACCGAGCCCAAGAAATTGCAGCCCGAAGTTGTATTCGAGTGCCTGGGCCCAATGCAGTCTCGAACTTGTTTTGCTTTCCGTTGCAACGTTTCATTCCGCTGGGAGAAGACAGTATGCAGTGCAGCATTAGTCGTATACTATCGGTTCATATGTACATACATACAAAAACATTGCGATATATCATGTGGCTACGATTTATCACACAGAAGCTAAACCCGAATTCCAGATGTCCAAGGCACCTGTGCCAAGGCTTGTGCACCACGGTCGCAGATTTTGTTGCCTTGGTCTGACCGACAAACACAGGGTTTTAAGGACTGAGACGGTATACCAGTACTACTTCCGTGCAGGGTGAGATATGTCTCGTTGCCAATAACTGCAAACACCTGGACTGCTACAGCAGTGCGGCCCTGATCACTCTGACCAAGACCTACGACCCGGTCATTTTGAACGCAACATCCCCAAGATGCACGCCAAGCTGATCAGCATTATGTCATCTGTCTCCGTTCACTCCCCCAGCTTCATCACATTTTCCTAACTCTCCGACACGTTGAACCTTCCCCGACAAATCCGAATAGCTGTAAGGCCGAGCCGCCCCAGAGATTAAGCGCACGCAGGTGCGGGGATGGACTCGCCAAGCATGAGCTAATGGCCTGAACGACAGCCACGGGCTTCAGCGGTCAGCGGAAGCATTGTCAGTCGATCGGGGGTTTCATAGCACTTTCAGCTTATGTCCTATAATGCCCTTTGGTGTGCATCAAAGTTTCAGCAGTCCAACGGCCACCATCTTTCAACAATAAGATCCGCCATCTTCCTTCGGCTTCGGCTTAGCGGCTGCCCTGAATCACTGCAGATCGCAGAGGGCCGACGTTTCTCTCTGATGCTCTACGCCGTGAAATCGCATGCCGGCATGCAACCAGCCCAGAACCCTCCATCCTTCTTTCTGGAAAGGGTGAAGCAGAGTATGCACCGGCCTGAACCTCCAGGCGACCCAGATTGCAACACCTCCGACCAGGGCTTCCAACAAGCAGTGCTGCACATGATAGATTATATATTACATATTATATTATATTATATAATATTATATTATATTATATTATATTATATTATATTATATTATATTATATTATATTATATTTTATTATATTATATATTGTATTATGTTTTATATTATATTATATTATATTATATGATATTATATTATATATTATGTCTTATATTATATTGTATTATATGAATATAATATTATATAATTTCAATATTATATTATATTATATTTTAATTTTATTATATTATATTATATTATATTTTAATTTTATTATATTATATTGTATTATATTATATTGTATTATATTATATTATATTACATTATATTATATTATATTGTATTATATTGTATTATATTATATTATATTATATTAAATTATATTACATTATATTATATTATATTACATTATATTACATTATATTATATTATATTATATTATATTATATTATATTATGATATATTATATTATGTTATATTATATTATATTATATATTATATTATACTAT